AGATGTGTCTGTGTAATCTGCAGCCCCAGCTGCAGGTGTTAACATCTGGCAGAAAGACAGAGCTGTAGGATGGGGAGAAAATCTTTCTGGCCACTCCAGCAGGGTTTGTCAGGTGTTGTCTCTTAATGCCATAGGTGATGGTTTTATCTAAATGTTGACTTAGACTTTATGAGGGCCATTAGATGGGAGAAAAGACTTTCATGTATTTCTGAAGGGACACTTATTGTGCTTCCACCCTGGACATACTAGGTGCCTATCCAAACTAATTCTTATCTCTGCCATTTCACAGCCTAAGCTTAATCATGGCAGGACAGACTAACAGTAAATGGATGGTACTGGCTGTGAGTTGAGTTCCTGGAGGAGATGACTCTGGCCATGGAGGCCAGTGGGGCCAGATGTGTAAAAAAATCTGCTTTTTGTAGGCATTTGTAGGTTCAAGCACAGCAGAGCTGGCTGTCCTCAGCCATAACTGGGAACTGTATCTGTTCCCTAATGGGGGCAAGCTGTAAATTCACAGCTGGTCTATAATTACCCTTAACTAACACTCTGAATGTAATGACTGGAGTCTTTTCTTCCCCCTCCTTTCCCTTCCTCCCCAGGTGTCCAATGTGGTTATTTACACCTGTGAGGAGTGAGTAAGAAAGTAGGTATAAAATGCTGTCATTCAGGTTTGGCAGTGTTTAACAACCTTGTAAATGTGTGTTCAAATTTTCAGGTGGATGATTGAGTACTCTTTCAAATATATGTATTTTTTAATCCTCCCCTTTTTAATGCTCTTTTCCCATCCTGAATAGAGTACCTAGAGTGATCATGCACAGTAATGCTTTAGTGGGGGATTTTTTACTATAGGATAGTTTAAAAATTATGTAGGAAATATCGTAATTTCATCAACCACTCCACAGGAACACTGTGAAGTAAAGTAGTGTGCACAGATACTCCTTTGGGAATAGGACAGATGGGTTGAACTGTATTTTCATTAGGAAAATGTACTCATTTTTTATCTGTGCAAGTATTAAATATTACCAATTCTAATGCTCTTGTGAAGCCCTTCAGTATTCAGTCTTGTCGGGGTTATCACTGGGATTTTGGTCAGAGTGTGGATTTTAGGGCTGCACTGGTAAGTGTTCATGAACCTCTTTCTTATTTGTTTGCTGTTTACTTAAGTGTTTGTCCTAATTTAAAATTTGAGAAATTCTGTAAAGTTGGAAGAAAATTGAGATAGTTGCCTGTATTAGTGGTTTAAAAGTTTCAGTAATTTTTTGCATTTTTCTGATGTACTTTCATTCTGTTAGTAAGAAGAATGTTCTCTGAGTGAGGGTTAAATGTCTGACTCCTGCCTTGATTCCCTCCCTGCCTGCTGACTCACCATTTCATTGGCACACAGCCATGGTGCAGTTATGGAGTATGTTTACTAAGTGCTTGAATCACAAATGGAGAGCTATTGGATTTTCTCATACTTGAAATGGTTGAGAAAAGTTTTAGCCTTTCAAATCAGCCACATTGCAGACTGTTCCTTTAAAGCTCAGTTTTAATTTTTGAATATGTTTTCAGATGAAAAGCATTTATTTAAAAAGCATCATTTAGAAGGAGACAGTGTCTTTGTGCTCTAACTAGTTGCAACCATATATGGAAGGTGAGTCCTACCAGGTCTAACTGCTTTGGGATATCCTTTCCAACTGGCATCACATTAGCATCCAGGAAAATAAGTCTGCTTCATCCTGCTACATGTAAATACATGAAGAATAAAATGTGCTGTTTTTCTGGTCTGATGAAGGCAGCTGCTGGGGGTGGGATGGGCGTTATCAGCCCCATGTCTGGGGCTTTTGTCAGATGCCCTGGCCATTGGGTTTAAGGAGCTTGTGGGTTGCTTTATAGTTAATAAATTATGTGGCTTCAGACCTCATTCTGGGAGCAGCCCTATGCAAAGGAGTGATAAAAGGTTATTCCATGAAAACTCAGGGTTGGACTACTGATCTCAGTTAGGCTTGCTCTAGAAATAAAGGGAAACTCTGGAGCCCATGGTCCAACCAGTGGGATGCTGCTGCCAGCCATCAAATCTGTGCTCATCTGCCCTTTGGAGCAGGAGCATCCTGCAGCAGCACAGCCACCAGGAGTTTGGAGTTCTTATTTTGAGTCCAATGGGCAAGAGGTAGACTTTAAGGGAATTGTTTATTAGTCTGGGCCCCTGACAAAGTTGCTGCAGCTGCATACAAAATAAACAAGTGAGAGGCTAAAATAATTAGACCTGGGAAGAGTTTAATGTGAATTCCTGTATTCCTGAATTCCTGTATAATTTAATGCAAGTAAATATCCCAGAGCCTGGTGGGCAGCATATGGAGTAACCAGGCATCTGGAAGGACAGCAGTAGGAAATTGGAGTAATCTTTTTGGACTAATAGATAGTGTAATACTTATTTACAGACACATCAGAAACACATTTCTGGATGACTGTGAATAACTTATTTCTAGATGACAGTAATTAACTCAGTTCTAACGAGTCAAGATTGCTGCTTAGTGTTTAAATAATTTTTCAATCTAGAAACTCCAGTGTCAGATGAAGCTTTTTATTTCATCTTAGGAAGCAGCAGCAGTTCAACAGCCCTTGTTTCAAACATGACTCCTGGTTGCAAAGAGCATTTTCACATTTCTCTTTACAGTTGTTCACCAGTATGTTTTTGTCTATGACCAATGTATAAAATCAGTTTCACAGATGTGTTACACAATCATCCAGAATTTAAGTTAGTAAATATGACTGAAGAGTTGAGGAAGGTTAAAACAAAGTAGGGCATACCTTTCTACTAAGGAGTCAACAATAACATTGAAACTGTTGAAATCTATACAGAATTTCACAGACACTGCTGTTAAATTTTCAAGTAATGGAACTCCTCCTCCAAAGCTAATTATCTCATAAGAGCACTTTATCTTTTGAAGATACGGCTACAAGATATTCCTGTACCATTACTGGGAAGGAGTTTGCTGTGGTATATGTCAGCCACTGGGGTTTCTTTAGAAGCAAGTGAAGCCAGGAGGAGGATCTCCATTGATGCTGGTGGCTCTTGACTTGGAACCATGGGGTTTGTCAAGTGACACCAGTGTCATGAAGTGATAAGGAAAGGTAATACAGTCCAACATAGAATATTTAAAGTTACTAAATACAAAATGTTTTATTTTCTCAAAATGAAAATTGCCTTCTTTCTCCCATAGTGCTCTTAACTGTTCCAGATGAAAATTACTGAGTCACCAGATGGACTTAATAATTGGAATTTAACAAAGTTTTTAGCAGTTCTATTTTTATTATATATCTGTAATGAGCAAATTTGTAAAACCAAGGAAAGAGTATAAATTAAAGCAAAGTGGTGCTAACAGAGTTCAAATGGTTTGAATTCTAGAGGGGGTTGTTAGTCTGGCTTTCTTAGTAATCTGAAACTCTCCACGCTGTGACTGGAGATTGGTTTTGAGGTTAAGTCAGAGTTGTGAAAAGATGCATTATGTTTGATTAAATTTTACTTCTGAGAGGGTTTCATGACAAATGAGTCATGCAAGGAGAAGTGATTTCCTGAAGTTAATATGTCCAGAATCAAACCTGACTTTTTCCTTTGCAACCAAACTGCCCCCTAGACCAACTTTTGACAATTGTTTTGCTTTGAACTCCTCCTCTTGTTTTTCTGTTTTTTTCACATGCTGTCATTTGCTTTCAGAACCTCTCCTTGTTCTTGCCATATGCAATATTGTTTCTGTTACTCAAAATGAGAAGTGGCACATCTTAGTGTATAGAGAGTTTTGTACTGTTTTTATACCTTAATTTGGATTAATACTTTCCTGTTCTTTTATACATGCAATTACTTCTTTAGATCTACTTAACAGATTTCTCTTCCATGTAATTTGTGTATTCATTTGCTGCAACAAGGACTGACATTTGTAAAAGCTTGAAACCCCTCTCCTCCAATATCTGGATGAAGTTTTTAATTTTAAAGAATTTTGCTTTCTTTTAAAAATTAGTTATTTAAAATGAAATTCACAAGGTGACAATTTGTGTCAAAACAAAACTAAACTTATCGATAAAACTGTTAAGATGGGGAAAGGTGTCACCCCCTGTTCATCATGTGCATGTTGCTCACAGTCCATTGGATGCTACAGTAAGTTAATTCCTGACAAGAATCACTGTAATAAATGGATTTGTTGATAGTGAAGCAAGACTAAATTGCTCAATCCTCTGCTCTAAATAGCTGACCATGGTTTTTACTAACAGTGTCAGTCAGTTTAAAGCCAACAAATAAATTGCCAGAACATAATTGTTTCCTTTGAGTGAAGTGTAGGTAATTTTTTCAGACCTTGCTAGATAGCTGGGTTGGCTAACCCTGGTTCCCTGTAAAGATATCCTTCTTTTTCTGCCCCAGGCAGAAGTAATTTACAGTTACTCTTCTAATCGCAGGAGAGACACGATTGCAAACAGTATTTGTGGATGCTATGGGCAGAGAATCCCCTGGTACACAAGAGCCCCTGGCAAGAGTATTGTCTGGAGCCATGTGTGGGTCCACAAGCTGATCTACCTCCTGCACCAGGCTGGGGCTGGGCTGAATCTTGGTCCTCCTGGCAAACACCACTTCAAAATCAAATTCCCTCATATGGAGACAAAATCCTGCCTGGAGCAGCTGGTTCTGGGCAGGAATGCTTTAGGTGCTGTGCATATATCAAGTAGTGGAAGTGATAATGGTGTCCTAGAAGTGCTTTTGTTACACAGTTCTTGCTGGTTTTTTTTTGGACTTGATCAAGAAATGGTAATTGAAATGGATCATAATTGATTTCAGAGAGTTCTTAATGCAGTGTCTCTTAGTGCCCTGGGTTTTGCCATTTGAAAAAAATTAATTTTCTTTTGAAAAGCCCGCTGTGTGCCTGGTCTCTTTGGAAAGGCAGGAGCCTGTGAGTAGTATTATCATATATAATGATACCACTTATCACATTCATTCTGATTATGTAAAACTGAAAATCACTGCAGTGAAATGAAGTTTCAATGTTTTTATTCAAAGCAGCTTCTCACAATGTATAAATACTGCATATTAACACACATGAAAAATACAACTTCTAAGGCACCCAGAAATGTGTCCATACACTAGTTACAGGACCATCAACAAATAAATTGTGTACAATTTGATCTAGACAGTCAATATTTGATATATCAGAAGATACAAGTCCCTCAGTACTGTACCAGTTTCAGAAAATATTTACAACACTGTGATATAGGGGTGCCTGTACCCTTATAATATTATAATATGTACTCATCATTACAAATATTAGAAACTGTTTTAGTCTGTTCCATGGCATTCTGACAAAATAACTTAAGGGCCTAATTTGCAAAGTTCTACAATTAATTATTTGTGCAAGTTCTGAAAATAAATTTACATTGACATAACTTGTGAATTTTTGGTTCTTTGCTTCATCTCAGAGGTTTGGTAATAAGCCTTACCAATAGACATGCCATCCCAGCTGAACATCACTCCTTTCCCAATAGCTCAGTGGATACATCTTTCCCCCTTACACCTGACATGGATGAGGATGCAGTGTTTGAAGCAGAGACTGTTTGATCTTCGGTACAAATGTCAAACTAGTTCACTGGCAAAGGAACTAATGAAATTCTTTGGTCCTTTGTTTTTTATGGAAGGCATAACATCTTTATTCACTAAAAATCAAAATCCTGTCTGTGAGCAAGCAAGCTAGTGAATGACTTTCAGTGTAGTATTTAAAATAGCAGTAAAGAGATTTAATATGGCTTAAAACATACGGTTAATTGGGCAGACACAGATAACACATCGAGGATAGCCAGTACCCAAATGTACTATGATAAGATTGTCTATAAGTCTCTTATGTAAACTTCTTTAGTGTCTCCTAAAGAGTGCTGGCTTTAGCCAGATTTGACTTTTATAGACCCAGCCACACAAAGCCTGAGATTAAACTACCATGGTTGGGAGCACAAATGCACAGTTTATATATAACAAAGCCCATGCTGACAAGTCTACCTCTGTTGTTCAAAAGAAACAACCCGTATTATCCTTTTCACAAGAAAAACTTAAGGCCCTGTACTCTGATTTGCTAACTTTCTTACAGCAATTATTTGGGGAAGTCCTTAGTACTGCATAAGCAATTATGCAGCTTTAAAGATTTCTTGTACCTAATGGTAAGGCTTATTCACAAATGCAATGCATTTATAAATTATATTTAAAACTGTAAAGGCTGGCAAAATAATTAAAAAACCCAAAACCAAAAATAAAACAAACCCCAACCAAAATTGTTTGTTCATCCCTAACATTAAAAGAGCATTTTATTCTAATGAAAAACTATTGGCACAAAACCATTATATTATAGATTAAAAGAACAGTTCATAGTAGTGAAAAAGATTGCCTAAAACGCATACCCTAACCTACCACAGAAATATAAAAGTTTATATTTTGAAAATATATACTGTATTAAAGTTTGTAAGCTTATTTATTTAAACAGAAATGTACTGAAATAGTAAACTAAGCAACACTTATCTACAGCAAAAATATACATGCAGGACAACACAAAATAAATTGCTCACCTTTAATATCTACAAATGCAAAACTGTAGAATTTTAAAGATTGTACAAAACAATTTACACAAGAATAAAATAACATACTTAAACAACCAATTGCATTTTTAATCTTAAATACTGTGAATATTAGTAAAGGTACCCAGACTAATATGTACAGTATATCTAGATATCTGAATACCTAGTAAGGATAGAAACACAAGAGAAAATTCAGATTCTGATATTTAAATACTGGAAAAGAAGGTTTCAACGTTGTTATTACTCTTTTTTGAAGGGAAAATAGATTCCATGAAAACTAGATTGTAACAGTATAGATATGAATAATTAAAAATGTTAACTATGGTTAGCGCTTGCTAGAATGGAAAAATAATTATAGAAAATGTATTTCAACTATTCCTTTGTCATAAAAAATGCTAAGATACAGATATATCTGAAAGTTCAGATGAAATGGTGCAGTTTAAAAGATCCAACAACGTATGATTCTTCTCTGTTTGCAAATCTCATTCGGAATGCATTCCTTCACATTGCTGAGAAATCTTACTATATTTACCTACAAAAACTAAGCATAGTATTGAAATAAACTTCCTAATATCTTATTAACACATGACTAGGAGTTATGGCTCTCTGGATGGGAATAAAGGAAATAAAGGAAATTGAGGAATCGTGGTACTTTTTCCATTGCCTTTTTTTGTTTTTCTGAAGGTGTATGCTGGAGGCCTGATTGTGCAAACTCGTGCATGTGTGTGTCTGTGTTTCTGTGTGTGTCTGTGTTTCTGTGTGTGTCTGTGTGTGTCTGTGTGTGTGTGGTTTTCACTTGGGTCATCCCTCTTTTTCCAGGTGACTCCGTGTGCACCTGCCCTGCCGGGGCCCAGGGCCTCGATCCAACGCGCCCCGCGGCGCTGCTGGCAGGTCGTGGACAAAAACAAGGGTTGGTATAAAGCAAGTGGTGCATCCATCACTTCAAATAGTTATTGAAAGAGTTCTCTTTCAGTCATTTTAAAATAAGCTAATGGTTTCAATAAGTTTCTTTTAAAAAACATTTTAAACAGACTAATTAGAAGACAGATTCTGTCTTTTTAATGAAGATTTTCCATGAGAACTTTTGTATTTAGGGTAATGATTTCCTTAAAATTCAGTGGTACAATTAGAGCATAAAAACAGCACTTCTAATTATTTGTGGAAAAAGAAATGTTGCATTAATATGTTGAAGTCTACTCTTTACTGTAATCACCTGTTCGTTAACTTTACAAAGGCTTTGTTGAAACTCTTTATGGAAATGCTAAGAGGGAGAAAGCTGAGCAGCCTCATTTGCAGAGGTTTAAATCATAAGTCACTGAGCTCAAGGATGGAGAGCAAGTGCACAAATTACAAAGCAAACAAATGTGCAAAGCTTCTGCTTCAAGAGGTTTCAATTTGGGCATACTATGATGACAGGTGAAGTCTCAGAGCATGCTCCTGTCCTTTCCACACAAATTGCCCATAGCAGGAAAGAACTGAGAGAGATCCAGTGTTCAGAAGTTGGTTGGTGTCACTGAACAGTACTAGGATCACATTCCAAAAGAGCAGGTTGGATTTTCCTTGTTTATTGTGGACTGCTTTTATGGATAGCCATAAGTTCTTGTAACAGGTGGTGGGGTGGCCAGATGTGGAGAGCTGGGAAAAGCAAAACAAAACCTCTGCCTCCACTGAGTTCAATGCCTAGCACCTTGTATAAACTGCTGGCCCACACCCAAAGGCCTCCAGAGCAGAAATTATCTCACACCTGAGGAATCAGGCAACTAGACTAAGGCTCATAAGGATTTGCTTTTAGACTTCAGACCATAAGGGTTGTTTAAACCTGAAAAACAGTACGATGCCACACAACGGCACCACTCACCCTGCTACTGGTATCTGGCTAACAGGAATATAGTAAACTTAAATAAAGCATCTGGTTGGCGAGCCCTTCAGTGCTCCTCAAGAAGGCAGAAAGTGAAGAGAGACTTAAGGGGGACTCATTGTGTCAAAACCCACTTTTTTTCTCTTAACCCTGGCAAATGAATGAATCTGTTTTCATACATTTTTTTGTACAGTTTTACACATAGAGGAGCATGCACGTGGCTGTTTCATTAACTGCCCACAATATTCTGTGTGTTTTCTATATATTCTTTATTTTTCTACTCAGTTTTCTGCTAAAAATGTGTTTGCATTCTCATGTGATGCCTTTAATTCAGTCAAAAGGGAAATATGAAAATAAGATCTGTGATCAACAAACAGCTGAATATGAACACAAAATAAATAAGTTAAATAAATTTAACAAAGAAAAAAAGTCTAGAATTTTTTTGTAAACTAACTTTACATATTATACATATAAATTATCAGATTTTTCCATTAAACTGTTTGAAAAAAATAATTAACATATTTCTAACATATGGTTTTTGGGTCTACCAAAGGTCGCGCTGACCCAGATTTTAGACTGAGCCCTCTGTGTCAGCCCAGGTGTGCTGCAATAGCAAGAATAAGTTAAGAAGGACAGACAAAATAAACCCTTACAGGTGGGTGAGACTTGCTGGGCCTCAGTGGTGCTTCTCAGAACGTGGAATGTAGAGTTGGATGTGGATGAGCAATGTGAAAGATGCAGCCTCTGCACAGGTTACGTGCACTGAACGCCTGCCCACGTCTTGGTTACACAGAATCAAACCGGCTACAAGCAGCTGTGCACCTCACACAGCCACAGGCATTGGGATCACTGTCACAAATTCCTCACTGATGCATTGCCTCTGCTTCTCAAACATGGTCATGTCTGACTCTGGTCACAACTGGAGCGATTTCTCTTTAAGTTAGGCCAAGATATCAGACTTCATAAATTTTGTCTTGCAAGTAGCTGAATAATGAATCCAGTCCTTTGGAAGAACTCCACAGCTGTTTTAACATCTGACATTCCTTCTCGTTCACCTCTTCAAGTCCGGATTTCAGGAAGCTCCGCACGAGACATTTGGACTCTTCCAATACCTAAAGCCAAAACACGACTCAGTATTTGATTCTGGATCTGAAAAAATTACTATGGATAATGGTGTGACCAGCAATTTTAGAATACTGACTCTTTTATGATCTAAATAACTCTTTCAAGCACAGAAATTACATTTGATTTCTAGGCACAACTCCACTTGCTGATAGTCAGCATCTTTAAGAATTGATGGGTTGATGGGTTAGTGCCAGGTTTTTAAAAGAATGAGAGATTCTAAAGTACCTGAGCTTATTGAAGGTCTGCCATGAAGCACAAGGAGCTGAACTTCCTCATACTGAAATGAAAATGTGTGAGGGACAAGATACTGGCTACCTGTTTTCTGGAAGGTGGTCTTTAAGGTTAGACATGTTGGAAACCCAAATACAGATGTCCATTATCTTTAACAATTTTCCCTTGTTAATTTCCTTATCAATACAGAAATTAATAGGAAAGGGCCTTTACTGCAAATCCCTTTTTAAGCCTATTTGCTTACATTTTTATAAAAGTGAAATATTTTGTAAAAGAATGGTACTAAGCAAAACAAGCACCTCTGACTGAGTTCTGGAGTTAGATTTACTTGGCAGATACAACAAATCACCTGAGATCTTTGCAATAATGCAACCTCAAGCCCTTAGTAATTGTTGCAAATTCTGAAAGGCAGAAACTGCAGGTCCATGGTTGCTCCCATAGTTCAGCTCATTTATCCCAGACCCATTTTTAAGGACATTGAGATTGATTCCTTTAAAATTAGTTTTTAAATACACACTACCATGTATCTCACAAGGAACTCAAATGGTCAAACAAACCCAATAATAACTCCTACATTACTGATTTTCTGAGGACAGGACATTTAATATAACTAACACAGTGTTCTGTGGGAAGGGAGGTGCATTCTCTTCACTCAGCTTTGTCAACACCTTCATGTTAAACCCAGTTCCTCCGTATTGTGGTTTTCAACACTGCTATTGCAAAGTAGTATTGGTCTATAACTCAAGTAAACTGTGTTAATAGCAAATCAAGGGCCCTATGCATTTTTTGTGGTCTGTTTGTGAACAAATCTTTGAAGATTTACCTTTGTCCACAAGTCAGCACTGGTCTTTCTAAGGGGTCTTGAGAAAAGTTTATTGACAGCCAATAGCAGTGAGGGAAGGAAGAATTCACAGTAAAGCCCAGAGGTTTTCCCAACTCAAATAATACACGTTATATCAACATCATCAAATAAGATTCTGCTACATTTCCAGAGAGTTTCATTCTCAATGTCTTCTGTGAGATCTAATCTACAGTTTGTTTAATTAAAAATCTCTTGTGTCTCTACCTCCTTTTACAGCAGATCTTTTAAATGAAACTGAGGGATGCTGAGACAGTTTCAGACATAGGAAATACAGCAAGAAACGATAACAATTTTCACTTTAATTACTGCAGTTATATTGCAGCCAGTATCACTTTCTTCACTGCATGTTTTTTAAACAAAGATGTGCCCAGAATAGGAGTATATCTGCCTGAAGGGAAAAACCTCTAGGAAGATAGGAAAGGATTTTCTTTCAACTTTTGTGTACACAAAAGGAAAGTTATAATACACTGTGACCAGAATGTGTTCAAATCCCTCTTGTCTGGATCTCACTTCTCCTTCACAGCAGAGCTTAGCTGGCACTATCCTACCCTTCTGGGGTGCTGTGTGGAACATTCTGCAGCAGTAGGAACTGTGCAGGTGCAGAAAGAAGGCAGATTCAGCTGAAACCTGGTAAGCCAGGACAAAGTGAAGGGTAAATCTATTTTCTTTCAGGTTTCCCAGTACAGTTGTAGAGTTTCAGAATGTTGCACCTTCATGAAAGAAACCTGTGCTAAAATGCCCTTTCAAAATCTGGGGCAAGGAGGTGTCACTCATTGAATATATACAAATATTGTGAAAGGAAAGAACCCCCCTGCCCCAGTCCCTGAAAAATGAGAAACTCTATGAGCTCTCTGATCCCTATCCAGGTTTTCTGATGTCAGCCTTCTTTCACAGGTATGGCTGTGGAAACTGAGGTCCCACATGTGACGAGCCTTGGGAGCACACCTTACCTATGTGAAATGTCATTTAATGAGGGAGTTTGATTTCTTACCACTGCACTGCAGGATGCCATTTCTTTCACTCGTAGCATCACTTCTTGGCTAAATGTTGTTGGCCAAAATACTTGTGACACCAGTCCTCTGCTGCAGGCTTCTTGTGCTGTCAGCTTTCTGCCACAGAACAACATTTCATTTGCCTGTGAAACCAAAAGACTCTGGTAATCTTGGGTTATAATTCCCTTCAAATTTTTCTCATACTTGCCTGCTATTTTTATGATTAAATTACAAATGTTCTTCTGTATCTTTCCATACTGCAAAATACTTTAAAAGGAGTTTCAGTAGCTATTTAAGGATTGTGCAGGTGGCCAGAGCACAGCATGGGTTTAATTTAAGAGAAATGTGCTGGCATGCATGGTGAATCTGTACTGCTAATCTTACAAGAGTAACTATCAGTGATACTGTGTGGAGAGTCATGGAACCCAGTAGGAGATATTTGTGGGACAAATTCTGATTTATTATACTGGTAAAAGCTAAGCAGTCTTACTGGAATCATTGTGGATTATCTTTGTATCTGGCTGTATTACTGCCCACTCCTAACATAATGCAGACAACTACTATGTAAGGTTATTGTGCTAATGTATTTCTTCACTTTTCTACCATGATGTTATGTTGACAATCTTTGCTTTTTCAATCTTTCTTGTGTACAGCAGGTGTTGTATGCTGAATTCTAAGGTTATTTTGTGATAAGAAGTTGGTAGTAATTAGATGAACTTTCCATTAAAGACAATTAAGAAAATTGTTTACTTTTTCAAGAGAGAAAGATCAGGAATTTACGAAAGGTTATTCAGCAATTTGAGGTGGAAAACCTTACCAGTGCAACACCCAGAATTTGTGGGAATGTGTATGATGAGCAGCCAGCTGGAGTGAGTCGGATTGTTGCAAATGGTGTCTGAAACCAAGCCTTCTCACTTGCCCAAACGATATCACAGAGTGGTAAAATAGAAGCTCCTAACCCCAGAGCAGGGCCGTTGATAGCAACCACAATTGGCTTCTTAAATTGAATAAAAGCTTTTACAAAATCCCTAAAATAAAAAATACAAGAAAGATCTTGAATACAGAAGTAACACATAAATATCTAAGTTTAAAGTACTTAATCTGAAAACAAATTAGAACCACAGAAGAACACAACAAATGCCCAGTTTTATGAGGTCAGGACTGCAAGATACTTTCTAATTTGCACATGGAAAAGTCTGCTTATTTTTAGTTATTTAATCTTTCTGAGTACCTGGGCTATTGCATAAGTTTTGTGTATGTTGTATATGGCCTGATTAAGTGGATTACACTGAGTGTTGTACTTTTTGCAGAAAGGTTTGATTGGGTTAGTTTTACTTCTGGACCAGAAACTCCCAAGTTTGTACACACAGCACTTCTTGTTTTGCTCCACAGTGGCTGGGATGGACCTTGTTTGGCTACTGATGAAATATTATAGTCTGAATATTTATTTTTTTCCAAAGCTTCTCTTAAGATCCTGTGTCAAAGGCTACTGCAAGTCCCATCAGTGGATTGGGAGACTGTCAATGTTTATGGCACACCAGCAGAAAGAACAAGATTGTGCAAAGAGGAGTCAGAGAAGTGTTTGAACAGGATGAGTGATCTTCAGTTGGGTCTTCATTGCAAAAATCTTCAGCAAAGCCATTACAAAGCAGATGCCCTTGCCTGACTACCCCAGTAATGTGATGAGAAATAACAGGGAAGTTAAATGTCATCGTATTCACCTGGATGAACAAACTAGAATATGTTAAATTCTGTGCAATGAGAAGATCTTTTAAATAAGTTACCTACCAGCAGCTGTGGAAAGACATCTGTTGAATGGAATGGCCTTTACACTAATTAGGAAAAAGCAAGAGTGTAATTGTGGGCAAATTATGGGCTCCAGCAGCTCAGTGCACAGCAGGTATATGGAGGCAAACGGGATGCTCAGTTACTTTAGAAAAAAGACATGGATAAATCAAATTCCAAGCAAAAGAGATTCCATCCCTGCACTGGGTATTTATTAGATCCAGAGTGCATATTTGCTGACAGATTTTAGGAAATAAGATTTTATCAAATGTGCCCTTTGATGAGTTGCTGCTCTCCCACTGAGGTCAAGGATCCAGGCCTCTGTACCTGAGCACAGGTGGGCCTTGCAGGTTATAGAGCACATGTGGGAAGTGCAGGGACACTGGCTGTGTTTTAAGTGAGGACAAAGAGTCTGAGATGACCCAGCATTAAATTTTCAATTAATACGTTCTGTTTTTCAAGTCCTCTAGTAAGAAGGACCATGGGAAAATACAGAATTGATGCAGTTCTGTTACAGTAGTAAATGAGGAGATCACTGTCAAGACAAAGAGAGTGAATAAGGAACATTGGTTTTGTCTGTTCAAGACCATTTCTGTCTAGAGGAGAGCAGGGTTAAGGAGAGCTGTGAGTCGTTTTCGTTGCAGACACAATGCTGTTCCCTTATTATTTCTTTGGTTGTTTATGACTGAGTAGTGACTGTGGATCACTGCACCTCATTAATTCCAGAATTCTGAGAAACTCAGTAGTTATGTAAGTCTTTCAGACAGGACTACAGTTGTGAATAGGGATGTGTTGAATGATAGATAAAAAGAAAGCAAACTAAGGATAAATGGTGGCAGTAAATCTGAGGACCTTGTGGAGGCAGATAAAACCAGTGTTGTGGAGAAAAGCAGGAATCATGATGATAAATGGGAGTGGATGTGAATATGGAAAAGCAATTCGGGATGTGGACAGGAAACAGATAATGTGAAGGAAGAACAAAGCAGAACACATTAATGGAAGGGAAGGGTTGAAGGAAGTCTTCATATGAGTGAGCAAGGAAGGGAGGACCTGGAGAGAATGGAACATAACTTTGAGAAGGCACAGCGAGCCTCTTGTCACGAGGGAAGAATGAGGAGCACAGAGGATGGTAAAATGGATGGGTATGGAACATGCTACCTATAGGATAGAATGGAAGGCTACAATGTTGGGAGATGATGAGGGGAACAAATGCCTGCCTTTGGTCTCCAGAAGCTGCAGTGACCAGCAGTCCATTTATCTTTGATTCCTGTTTGGTGTGTTGTTTCAGTGGGCTGTCTCTGTACCCTGAACATGGCATGTTTCCTTGTCTCCAAACCATAAGTTCACATGGGGAGTTTCTGGGCTACAGGATCCTTGTTTCAATTCAAAGCAGTCTTTGAAAAGGATTTCAGATTACAGCTGTAGTTGCACAGTAGATCCAGATGCTTAAATGTAGGGAAAAGTGTCTACAGAAGGCTTCTGGATTTGCTAGAGCACATATGGAACGCTGACCATGGGATACACGCTGGGATGCTCAGACACCTCTGCACTGTTTCAGGCTCTTGCTGCTGGTCAGGGCTTGTATGTACATCCAGGGCTGTAAAGAAGCTGAGCAAGTAAATTTGTCCTTGTCTTGTTTTCTTCTGAGCACACCCAGAATGTTGTGGCTCTGGTCCCACCGTGCTGCCCAGCCGATGGGGCGAGCCCAGTGCTGGGAGTGCCTTCCAGGAGTGTCAATCCCAGGGCTCTGCAGGCCACACTGTGCAGCCTGTTTTCCTTGCTCCAGCAGGGCGTGTGGGTGGTGGCAGCTCAGACTGGTGGGCTTGGGATGGGTCTGTGACCAGTGCCTGCAGAGGAGCTGCACTGCTGCACATCCATTCACTGCAAAGCCCAGTGGCTGAGGGCATGGCACCAGTGACTGAACATTTCATGGAGAGGAGACTTGATAGGGATTGAAACTTCAGCTGAAACTTGTGTCCGGTATATGAGAGCCACGCTTTGGGATGTGGGAACACATGGTAACCAAGATTTTAATTTCACTTTGATACAAGTCTAACTTGATGTAAAGCAGTGGAGCCAGAGATCCATTGATGTATTTTAGGACATCCAAACCACTGAAAAAAGCAATGGACATTTTTTCTTCTCTTATTACAGTTTATTTTCCATGAGCTGAGTCCTTTGTTCACAGAAAGCACAGAGAGTGCTAAATGGAAAACGTAGGGTATTGTTTCCAGAAGTACAATAAAAATCTATTTTCAGTGGGCCTGAAGCTGACATTCTTGACAAGGTACAAGCAGTACATTGTACCAGTATTTCAAGAGTGTTCTGTGAGTCCGAGGGTGGAAAAACTGATTATCACAGTCTGGCTTATCGTTATTTAAATGTTGGATTGATACGTATACCTGTATATTAGATGTGTGCAAATAAATGTAAACCTATATAACAACACCTAACTGCACAGTTTTTACAAGAATAATACTAAATTTGTATATTTTGGTAGGTGATGAGTATGCCTGTGTTTTCAAACAAGAACAGTGATTTTCTGCCCTCACTTTTTTTTGGTTCCACATTGTTAAAAACCCCCCACGTTTAAAAAATAAACTTAGGCTTTGTCCTTCAAAGGTTTTCTCTTTTAAAAAATATCACTCCATGATATTCGAGCATATTTAGAGTCTTATAAACAGCTTGTAACATACTACATTCAAGAAGTATCTTTTAAAGTCTTTAAAAATAATTGCTACTTTGAGAATTTCAGAAGTTTTTAACCTGGAATCCAAACTGATCTGTAGTAGTTGTAACCAAGATAATTGGTGGTTAATATACTTTGTGTAATATGTAAACCTGATCTTACGTTATACTAATAAATCCCAAGTAGAGATATCTTGTAAAAAAATTCTTTAATATTCCTACATAGAATTGTTGCATAAAGTTTTAAAGCTCTCAGAAGAATATTTATTTGTAGGAAATGGGGGGAAAAAAGGGATCAAATAGTTTCCTGGTACAGATTGGCTTTAGTGGAATAATATTGATTTATACTGGAAAATCTGCCTTGTGGATAATGGAACATTTGGTGATGTGTTGTGCAGATTGATTTGCAGACTGCATGTCATAAACCCTAGAATTCTATTAGGGTGATGTGATATATATATATATATATATATATATATATATATATATAAGGAAAGTTGCATTTTAGTTACAAAAATAAAATTACATTTACATATATATTAAGTAATTTAAATTTAAGAAGAGTGGAGACCCTTCAAGTAAGTTTCTGAAATACAGTGGCAGACTGCTATTTCAACAGAATATGAGTAAGCCATGGATTCCCATTTGGACTGAAATTAATTAAAATGATGAACATTAAAACAAGTAAAAGATCTGCCTTTCAGGAACCACTTTAGAACATGAAGCAATACTGAATTTGGAAAAACAACAACAAAGTTGTATTTGAATTTGGAGGAATTATTTGAAATATTAAATACAGAGAATTAGAATAAAATAAATCCCTATGGATATTGGCACTGGAATGAATGTGCTTTCTTTCCTAATATGGAAAGGTCCAAGTTTCTTTTTACTAAACAAATTTGCAGGACTATAATTAGAATGAAATCAACATTTAAATATACAACATTTTTGGACCTGATAAATATTTTTATAATCACACACTGCATTTCATAATTTAGAGATCATAGGTAAGCTTGGGTCACCTTATAGCTTCTGCAATCCTAGTGCTTTCCTTTCTTCTGTCATTGGATAACCTGCCAATTAAATATGAGTAATCTAGGCCACTACAGAATACACTTCCCACTGCGCTGAGAAGTAAGAGTTTACTGTCATCAGCTGATGCATTGCACAATGCTCTCCGAACTTCCTTCATGATCTGTGGATAAAGAAAAGTAAACAATTCGACATGCATGCCGTGGCAATATCATTTCCCTACTTTTACAAACCTTATTGATTTTGAGAGACTTCAATTTTGGGCACTATTAATAGTTACATCAATTATAGATATAATTTTAACATAGGATGATATTAGAATCATTAGAATGATAACACTGAGAGTTTGTAGAATATTTTATATTTGGCAGTGCTTTGTTGATGTTTTACTAATTCAAAGAGGTTTTAGGACTTTGCGGTTCTTTGTTGTTTGGGAAATTCTACCCAGCTTATGCTATTTGACTGCAATTTAATAATTTCAAATATCACTTTTTTATTTTCAGTGTGTACACCACTGTATCCTCGGGAACAAGTTTATCACAGCAAAAGCCTATTATTAACCTCAACAGCTTGAAAGCAAAATTTGTAAACCCCAGTTTTCTGGTCTTGAACTACTTTGGTTTATATTACTTCAACCAGAGCAAATCAGGACAAGAGGACATCATATATATCAACATGACAAATATATTATTCATTTTTACAGTTTACAAAAGTTAAATCATAAAAGTCCCTTGAAAAAGAGACATTTTGACTTTATTTTACAACTGGATCAAGCTATTAATTGCACCATAAATCAAACCTAAGCAAAATCTGTATAGAATTGAGCTGCTGGTATTGTAGGAAAATGGCCTTTCACCTGAGCAGAGAATTGTCTCCTAATGATTTTTAAAAGGAAATTTTATTTCATAAACTTCTGATGTGTAACTTCTTGTTTGGTCACAGTTGGGTGTGGTTTGTGAGCTGTAATTCATTTCAGCACCCTCTCTTCTATAATGTGCTCCTCACTGCAAGGGCCCTGATTTTGTCTAGTGTGACACCTCCTATCCTTAATCACACCCATGTGTCAAAGTATTTCCTATAGACATGCTCCTGCTGTCTCAAATTTTTCTCTTTTGCACCGAAAGATTTGCTGTTGGTGCATATTTAGGTAAGAAAGAGCTAAATGTGGCTGGGGATTTAAATAGAGTTTGCATGTGAGAGAAACCCAAGATTTTTTAGCCTGTGATTATTTCTGTTCACTACTTTCTGTCACCAAAACTTTAGATCTCTGAAGTGCCTTGTTTAAGAAATGCCCCTAAACACTGAAGTTTTGTTGATGCCACCCCCTGGTTAGCCTTTTAATAGAAATCCTATGGATTGTGCTGCCTTCCCTATGGATGTGTGTAAAGATGAGTATTACTGGCTGCTGGGACTGGGCATGAGAGAGCAGGTGGTGAACTTTTAGATGCTTCACTTCTACAAGAGCACTTCAGAACGCCTGTAATACTGAGTGTGTGACAGTGGGTGGAAGTGAAGTAATTAAAAGCTGCAGAATTTGGAAGTGTATTTGAAATTCTTATGCAGGTACAAAAATGTCATCAGCAATTTTAGGAGCACTGTTTTTATTTTGAGAGTCTCAGAAGCTGTCTCAGCCCTCAGCTGGGAGAAACACAGCAATGCTGCACATATAATGGGGAAACAAAGGGGAAAACCCCCTAAAACCTTTGTTCAGTGTTAAAAGAAAAACTTTAGAATGTGGTAGATATTAAAATTTTTAAAAATATATTTTGGTTTTCCTAATTCCATGTGAATGCAATGTTATCCTCTTAATTCACTGTAAAAGATCTCACAATCTGCTCATTCTTAGGGTGAATGTATAAATAATATTAGGGAATACCAGTCAAACGTTTTTCTATCCAATGGGGAATGTTTCATTAAGTATGATGCTGTGATGATACCCATTCAGCAAGTTTCTTTATTATGCCCTTTCCTCCAGTGGTATTTGCCTATGTGTCACCTCTTTGCTGTTACCAATGCTCTCCTTCACACACATCATTCCTGTTATGAACCTGCCTCTTTTTTGTCTCACCCCTCACTGATCTGGATGACTAAAGCCATCTATAACACATCCAAATTTTTGAGCAAAGGTTACATTTCTTGTAAGAAAAACCAATATTCTGCCATCACTGTTTTTTCAGTGTTTTAGAGAGGATGACATTGAGTCTGTTATCAGGAATCAATTTCTCAGATATGGTTAAAAGTGGGAAAACTTTGGTTACTATTTTTGAGCAGGAGGGGTAATTTAGTTCCCCTGCTCCACTTGTTTCTATCAAAAGAAACCAAGAAACCATTATCAGGTTTAACCATAACCAGTATCAGCATTATGAGGCTCCAAAAACTTTGTTTTTTTCTAAAGAGCCTTAAATTTGTCATTAATTTTATCATCCAAAGGTGCTTGGAGGCTCCTTGGAATCCAGCAATGCCAGCCAAGTCAATGCTCACTTCTTTGGTCAGGAACTTTGCCATGGTTCTTTTGCTGGTGCAACCCAAAATTCCCCAGGTCCCTTTGTCACTTAGCCTGGTTACAGCAGCTGCTGCTCACTGCAGCCTCTGGAGCCTTGGCTTTCCCCGTGGGTTATCTGGGGATGGGCATTTCTCTCCAGCCATTTCTAGGATTACAGGGAAGTTACAAACAGGAAAATAATTATAAAAGAGCTGGTTTGTCTGCAGGGTTGCAGAACTGTGTGTTGAACTGTACTACTGTAAAGTAAATATAATTTTAGTTTAGAACTGCTCTCTGCTTTTAAGGACAAATTTATGTTTAATGTGGTAGTGAATTCAGTTCTCAAATACAGAGATACAACCTGTCTTTAGTTAAATTTCTCTGTCAGATTCCATATTCTTTTTCTTTTTACCATAGCCCTTAAACCTTTCCCCATCTTGCTAAAACCATGGCATTTGTCCAATTAAATTTTATTTTCTCTAGTGAACCAGATCTAATACTACTATTTTCCAGAGATCCTTAGCAATATTCTCCAGATCTCCAGTGCTTTTATTAATTAGCTTTTTTATGTCCTTTCAGGTAATTTTCAGTTGTGGGGACAGTATTTATATTTGAATGCATTTGATGAAAATTTCTAAGGCAGTGTTTACAGAACAGTATGGGCCAGTTATTTAGGTTATGATAGTTGACTGGATTGTAAATTTAGACCAGACCTAGTGCTTCACTTACTGTTTTATTGAAACACAAATATATAATAAAATTATCACCTTCTCAGAAGTTGCTTATATTTTTAATCCTGTCAAGTAAATAATCTCATTAGTTCTTGAACAGGATATCTTATATCGCAAAATAAACATGAACCAGTTAAAAACTTCATTAAACTTCTAAGAGCTTAATTTAATGCCTTTTGCTGGATGTAGGAAATTTCCAAACATATTTGGTGCCCTTTGCTTTTCATCTTGTTTACATTCTGGGAAAATCAAAGAGCTAGGAATTTATCACCATAATTACACAAAGTATCTTGAACAAGAAGTCTCTTGTTCACATAAATAGAAGCACTAGTTAATAAAAGTTAACTTTTCTGAATCTCTGAGGACTCACTGTGTTATTCTTAAAGGTAATTATTCTGTAAATATTACCGTAAACCTAAATTTTAAAGCCATTCTGTTGTTCTTAGAACCTCTTCCCCACTTGCAATTTTTTTTTATGTAAATAAACTTTGTGTTACTGATTCCTTTCTGTCTGGCACCTAAAGGACTTGGGAACCTCTAAAGCTGCAGCCACAAGCACTGGCCCAAACCCGCAGCTGACTTTTGTGTAGAGAGCAGAACTACAGGGAACAGTAAACTTATACCTGCCTCTTTTTTATTATTTAGGTTAGGAAAAGTGAAGGCAAACCAGTGCTCCAAAATGCACCTGGCAGAACTTTAAACTCTGGATGGGTTTAAACCCTGTTATTCACATTTGAAATGTGAAACCTGATTCTTGTGTATGGGAAGGTACTTGAGGTAGTTCTGTCACTCTTCAATGAAAGTACTGGCTGTTTAGAAAATGTTTCACTTTTAGTTCAGGGGAATATTAACTCCCAACTCTGTTAATGGTGTTAAATGAGAAGAGCTGATGGGCTCATTTAGGTTGAAAAAGAATTTGGATCCTTGAGATGTGCTGAGATAAAACAGCAGCAGCATCACTGGAGAAAGAGCTTCAGGAGCAGCAAAAGTCCCACAAGAAAAAATGCCCTGATGGAATTCATAATTAAATATTTTACAAATGTATTTAAAAAAACAAAAGTAGCAAGCCCAAGCTACTGAAATAAGAACAAGCTGTGCTGTTTCGTGACACTGTCTTGGAAGTTTTATATCTTGTAAAAAATAAGAAAGAATTTCTATACTGCCCTGAATATTTTTGTAGAAAAAACTCAATTACTAAAGAAGCACTGAGCCAACATCAATCAGTGCAAAGGCTGCTGGAAAGAACATTGGCACATTTAATGATAAAATCACCTGCAGGATGAAGAGTCAGATAAGACTTCTTTAGATTTTAATTTTTTTTTAATAAATAAGTTCTTTGCTGCTTTAATTAAATTGGCATAAATAGCAGGGGCCAAAGGTTGAACACAACTATTATACTTCATCTGAAGATTCCTATAAAGCCCAAAGGGAAGCAGAGCTATTGAGGAATGAGTGGGATTTTGTATAAACTTAAGTTTAAAATGATTGTTTGAGTGCACACCTTTTTTTTTTCTTTAACACATATGGCCGAGTATTACCAGGCCACTATTTAAGCACATCAAATAGACCTGCTCTGAATAAATGATTCATTTGCTATTTGGCAAACATAATTTACTGAATGTCTAATAAAGCTTGAAGTTAGCATTTCTTTACACAAAATGAAACACACTTTCTTCATTTTGTAGGAATTGTGTGTTTGTACTTCATATTCACTGGGGATAAAAGGCATCACAACTGAAAATGCCCTAAACCTCCCAAAACACTTTGTCAGTTTGTCTCACCTATGGCTATGGGTGACAAACTGCAGGGACAAATCATTCAACACCTTTCTCCTTTCAGTTCCTGAGGTTTTTGCTGTAATTGCCAGCAAGAATGTGAAATTGCCAGTCCTGGAGGTGCTGGATTTTCTGGTGTGAATGATCATGGGCAGCAGCCTGGACTGAGGCCAAAGAAGCTGTTTCATGTTTACACCCATGAGTCTTCCAACGGCAGGAGCTCGCGATTGCTCTTGGCCTGGATGAGCTTTAAACATACAATCTCCATATGGAGAACTCAATAGCTGATTAATTCCTGACCATCCTGGTCAGTAAAGTGGTTTTCTAAAATGTATTTCCTGGTTTTCAAGTGAGCTTCAGTAAAGGTTCTAGAAATTGTCTACACTGGTGATGCAGGGAGAGGACTATTACATGCTTATCATTTATTCTTCCACAGAGGTGGGTTCCTGGCATATTGAAAACTTTCGAAGGATGAAATGGATTGGTTTGGCAGATCCAAAGAGCCTGAATTAATCCCCTGGTTAGAGCATCTGAACACTGCTGATGTGGAGCAGCACAGCCAGCTCCATGTAAAGGTATTTCTGTTTTGGTATTTCATGTAAAGGTATTTCTGTTTTGGTATTTCATGTAAAGGTATTTTTATTCTGACTGAACACAGAGTCCATGATTTCATATTTTTTCAGACCCTTGAGCTCCTTCATTTAAATTACCTGCAGTGTCAATTAGTGGTAATTAAGACAGAGATGGTGTGATGGATTTGATGCAATCTAATGCATTTTAAGAAATTAGTGTTAAAAGCAAATGTTTGGTGTTCTGTGGCAATTACCAAGATAGTCCTCCTAAATATTAGATAGTTTAAAAACTAGGAGTGGTAAATGTTATGTACCATCAGTTTTAGCCATTTAATATCACCATGTGTACGTGTGCATTTGAGAGGGGGACTCGTCATACCTGCCCGTTTTAAGTAATGAACTTCAAAGTTACTCTTTTCCCTAGTGAATAAAATGATTCCTCAAAGCTACAATCTACTCTTCCCTTGTGGTGCTCAGACTGGTATTTCCTACACTCCTGAGGTTGCTGTGTAGGGCAGAGAGGGCAGAAAAAGGCCAAGATCTCCCCAGTGAAGGCAGCACTTGCAGGAGCTCTGCCTGCAGGATGCTCAGACAGGCCAGGCCAGGCCAGGCTGCTCCTCCTGGTGCTCCCTCCAAAAACTTTGGTGAAAGTTTTGAAACCCAAGATATTTGGAACAAAAATTTATATTCTCCACAGCAGCCCTGTCCATCAGGCCACTACTGCCCCTGTGGAACAGGGCTCAGGTGTGAACAGGGCTCATTTGTGCTCTCCCCTCTCCAGGACATCCATCCTGAAGCAAACACTTATGGACACCCCTTTTCTTCTGACATGGGAATGGTATAACAGAGCATTGCAGCCACAGGGAATGAAGCAAAAGCTCCTCAGCCCTTCCAGTGATCCATGTGTGCACTGGTGTAGTACAAGCTGCAAGTCTGAGTCTGCCTTTGTGTGTATAATATTTGGGACAAGGGAATTAATTTTTATCTTTTATATGTTGTATGACTTTATGCAATTCAGCTGAGGATAGAGCCCCTAATTGGTTAAGATTTCATAAATAAATACAGTGATCCAGAGAAGAATTAATTAGGGATCAAGATGGAATTTAGAAAGGCTGTCTTAGGATATAAACTGAAATTCTCTGTATACGACTGGAGAACTATTTAAATTAGTAAAAGGAAAAAGACCAGATTTCTCCTAAGGATAGTAAATATCAGTAATTTCAATGTGTGAAAAGCTGCTTTGCACAATTCCATGCTGGAAATACAGATTCTGCCATTCCTTTAGTTACTTTTATTTTTTTTTCAGACATGTGAATTAAAATTTAATTTCCATTGCATTCTTTTGGATAGGAATCCCAAGTGTGAAAAAAGTTATATATGTCTGTACTCCAGATTTCTTTTCTAAGTTCATCAATTAGGAAAAAAATACATAAAGTCAAATTCAAGTGCAGTGTTTGCAAGATAACCCACACATTGGGATGGCTTTCTTTGGCTTTTAGGGCTGAACACTTACCTCTGGGGTCAGTGCATTGTTTTCTGAAGTCTGACTTGACAGCAAAATATGTGTGAAACCATCTTCCTTCCGGACTACAATGTCCCTGAAGCGACAGTTACTTTCATTTTGTCGCACGCTGTATCTCAGTCTCTTATCAAAGACATAATCTTTCTCTCCATCAAGTTTCCTCTTCACAGTGCTGTGTAGATTCAAGCTTCCATTGGCCAGAGAAGAACCTTGCAGATGGAAAGAATTCAATTACCTCCATACCATCAAAGAATTGGAGTGATATTCTCTATTAGCTTCAATAATGATAAATAAATATAAAATAGTAGAAAAATATAAATAAAAAAATGTGCCTGGCTAGTCAAATGTGGCCTCAAGCCATTGTTCTTATTCTGTACTCCAACGTGCAGAACATTTTGTTCTCTGATCAGACAACCTCTAGACCCAAGGAACTGATGCCATTTTGGAGAGTATCCAACAGGAGGGGAAAAAGAGAACTGTGAGAAGAAAGATATAATTCCTCCTTAAAAACAAGTAAGAGCAATAGTAAGTCAGTTTTAAACGACAGTTTATTCTGACTTACTCTGTGTATGAACTGCAAACCATTCCTTTGCTGATGTCTCCAGCGTTTCTGTAATAGGCAGTAGATGATGACTGGTAACAGTGCTGAGTGCAGGTGTTGAAGGAGTTTTATAAGGTTTGTATGTAATAATCCTTTTCTAATTACAGATGTTTCACACTATTGCCATTAAAAATAAAGCGGAGACAGGTTGTTGAGGGACATAGATTAAAGTCACTGGTTTTTGTTTATATAGACACCAGCCCACAATGCACCATTTTTAAGAAAGGCCAAGACAGAGCTGAATGAAAACAGCTTTGTTTGCTCTGTTCTTTACTTCTGCCAAAGCTGACTTGTTCCAGCTCCTGGTTTCAAATAGCCAGGAATTTTTAAAGGGCAGATGACATGAATATTAGAATATAGGTTTAAATTTTGTAGTTTAAGTGATCACCATCCAATTAAAAATGCTCTGCTGGAATAGAATTGAACAGTGAATTCATGACAGATGCCTCTAACCCAAAATCACTTACCTTCATTTTGGATTAGCTATGTGTCAGCCTGATGCTTACGTAGGTAACTGATCTGTCTGACACCTCACAGTTGGCAGTGGCCTGTGGAATTGTTCACAGTGTGTGAAATCCTGTATGTGCACTGCAGTTAGGAGATGGGATGTGAAAACACAGCCAGTGCTCAGCGGTGTGTGACTGGGTCTCATGTGGTGTGTGCATGTGGGTACTCACACATCTACACACAGGGATCCACCTTTGTCCAGGAGCCTGTTCAGTCAATCAGGAAACTCTTCTTTTGTTGTTGAATTAAGAGATATCATCTAAAGCATTGCCTGTGTTATACTGAATAGAGGATTTGCCTGGTGTAATGTAAACATGGCCAAGTTCCATTAAATCATCACTTTAAAAAAATCATTTGAAACCAAAAGAGTTGGAAATTTGTTTTCTTGACAAAAAGTGTCTACACGTGTATAAATTACCATGTGCTTGAACTTTAAATGCTATGAATAATTTCCTATGGCATGTTTCTTCTTTTTCTTAAGTTTGTTTTTTGACATGTATTCTTACAACAGAAATCAACTCGTGAAATTACTAATAGAACACCAATGTCATTGGGAATAATGTACTGAAACAAATGAACTCATTGACTGAGGCAGGCTATTAAATATTGGATTTTTATCTATTCAATGCTTAATCAGCAATAAGCTACTGAATTGTGGTGATTTCAAACTCCCCAAAAGTGTAAAGAACTTACAAAATCAGAGGCACAAATGCCCATTGAATGGAAGGTGTGTCTGACTAGCTGTACTGATTATCCACCTCGTGTGGAAGATTATGCTACATCTATTTTAAATACAGATGGTAAGAGAATAGTAGAAGTTTAATTCAGTCAGGTAATCCAGCTCAACAAAAAGCCTCACAGTAATTTTTTTGGTTTGTTTTATTCTTTCTTATGTATTCAGTTTGTAAATTAATGTATGATGTAAGAAACTATAGATCTTATGACAGTATTTTAACTGTTTGGATGCCAGCTGAAAGAAATTTATTCAGAGGAAAGATCTAAATTAAATATGAAAGAAATAGAAATGAAAAAGCACCATTTCCAAAAGCGGATCTTTAACAGAACAATATATTGTGAGTAGCTTGTTGTTTCCCTGTCTCTAGTGCATCCCTGTAATCTTGTTTAATCCGATAAACTGGAGAAAATGATCAGCACCCTCTAAAGACAGCACTGATGTGGATCCAGGCCAATTTAGCAAGTCTGCTGTGTGGAGGTGGTGCAGCTCCTGAAGGTCTGCTCTGGAGCCACTGGGATTGTCTGGGATTGTCCCTGCATGAGGGTCAACAGTCAGCACCTGCTCAGTGCACACAAGGGGAACAGCACCTGAGTATGTCAAGGTGAAAAATGACTGTGGCAGGCAAAAAGAGACATTCAAAGACTCAAAGCAATTTATACTGCATGTGAAACAAATTAAGGATGTCACCAATTAACTAAGGAAGCCTTAGATACATCTAAGTGTGATTTTTCTGGCTTAATAGTGAGTATTTGATGCTCAGTCTAAGTACAAAAGGAAAGGGAGAAAATGCTCTTTACTGGGAGTTGAATCTAATTATTACTTTGTGTTTAATCAGCAGAACTTGTGGAATACCTAAGCCAACATTTATATTTATAAGAAGCTTCAATATTTTTTAAGGGAACCTAAGATGTTCCCAGACCTCTGCTGCCTGCAGTAATCCTTCTCCAAGAATGGCAGTAAAAGAGGGCAGTAAAGGATGCTATTTAAGGAGAAAATGCAAGCTTGGTTGCTTTCTGTAGTCCTTTCCCATAGTATCATCCCTGAGTGTTGTACAGAAATATGAGAGGGCTCATCCCTTCTGTTTCCTTCAGTGTTTGCTTGTGGACCTTTTCATGGATTTCTCTAATCCCCTTCTGAGCCTGTTGATGCTGTCTGTCTCCACAGCTTCCTGTGGTATGAGTTTTAGAAGTTGGGTAGCCACTATACAGAGAAGAATTTTCTTTCATCTGTGCTTTTATCTGATGTTCCACCAGTTTCAGTGAGTGGTCCCTAGTTCTGCTATCAAGGGATTTCAGGAGCAACAGTTCTGCATTTAATATATCTGAGGCCTTGATGACTTTGTAAACTTTGATCGTGCTGCCCCTCAGCCACCCCCTCTCCCAGCCTCTTTTATTCCTGTAATCTTCTTCATTTTAGCTGCCCATCCCTGCATCTTCTACAATACTCCACCACTGCCAAAGGGTCTGAGACTGGGGTTCCATTCTACCAGGCACTGCAGAAAACACATTAGAAATTTATATTCTGAAAGGCTGAGGCAGATGAAGAGTGGGGAGAAAGTGAGGAAAGATCACACTGAGCCTCAGTGCTTTGGGGGACCTGGAGCTCCACATCTCCTGCCCACTGCTGGAGAACAATTCAAGCTCCTGTTTTTTTCAGATACATATTTTCTGAGTTTTTCATCAGAGCCAGTTTAATGGTGTTGTCCCTGTGCCACCACCCTCCACAGCAACCCCAGTACTGGTAAGAGCAGCCACACCATAAATTGGCCTGGTGATCTGCTCTGGCTGAAAAATCACCCTGCAAAACTGGTTAATTTTCAAACAGCTGCAGTTCATCTTGTAGCCTCAAAAGTATTAAAAGTGGTGCAGAGGGAGGGATGGGAATAACTATCAGGGTGTCATGGGAAGGAGAGCTGGACTTCTGCTTTTATTAGCAGTATGCATTTATGCTGAATGGAAAGGATGATGGAGCTGAGGCTTTAATTTTTCTAGGTGAAATAAGCCATGCTCCCTCACTCTCCCTGGTAAAGCAGCTTGGCATTCCTCAGACTTCCCAATAGCCTTTAACTGCCTCCTTCCTGTCTTTCTTGTGGGTAATGGTTAATACTGTACATACTTAAAAGCTGTGTTCTGTTGATAATTTACTAATAATTTCAGACTTCTCCAGCAAAGGAAGCATCTGTAAGATATCTAAAAGCAATGAGTTTTTATCCCAACTAAGAGAGCAAGCATGTTTGCTTGTCTTTTACTGCCAGTATTCTTTCAGAAGAAATAAACCAGATTAAGCTAAAAAACCAAGAGGAAGCAGTGACTAAGTCACAGAGAGTATTTAAATTGAGGGCACCATGAGACTACAAAGATTTTTGTAATGGAGAAAAACACTGGTTAGTGATACATGACAGGCAGAAATTCTTCAACAGATGGTACAGAAAAAGAGTGATGCAGAAAAAGGAAAGAAAATTAAAAGGGGATGTTTTTTGATGCTGTCAAGAAACGTGACAAAACAATAACTCTCAATTACAATATCTGGAGAGAAACAGAAATGTGATAACAGAAGACAACAAATATCATCAGAAAGACCAGTATTGTTAGCTCCTGGTAGCATCAAGGGATGCTGTTCACAAAGTTTTTCAATATTTTCCAATCTGCAGACCCTTAAATAACTGTCAGTAAAGATGATTCTGCTCTCCTTATGGCAGGATGTGTAGAAAGTAGAAGACAGTTTTTGATATTAAAGATCTGTCCCAACTTCCACAGGGTGCCAGGCCTCCACTGGGGTGCCCTGAACATTTTGTGCACACACCTGTAGGTAAGTGCTCATCCTTCTGGGGTAAAGAGCTTCCTGATGGGAGTTTGTCTAGAGGCTGAAGAAGAAACACTTGTACCCAAGTGGATTTATATACAAAACCAAAGAGACTGGTGGGCGTTCATTTAAGGAGTCATCCAAAGCTGGCTTTCAAATAGCTGTTATTTGAACAGAACTGGCATGGACAGAGAAACAAAATAGCTATTATTTGATTACTTCTAGTTTAAATATTACTGTCTATATTGCTTGATTCAATGTACTGGTGGTTAAACATTATTAAAATATGAAACAATGCTGGTTGAGGTTGGTGGGGTTTTGGAGACCTTCAGGCATAGGCCCACATTGGTAGCAGAGCTGGGCCTACAGCCAGGTTTTCAAATTGTAGGGAATTTTTGAGTTTTCCATATCTAGGCTTCATCTCCTGACAAGCCATAAATTTCTATACATATTTTCTGTGCAGTCTTACACTCAGCTGTGAAATGAATCTGACATTCATTTGGGTTCCATACAGGCAATCTCAAGGCTGACACAAATGTCTGCTTCGCCAGATTCTGAATGGGGCTGCCCAGGAGCCACAGCTTCAGGAGCCAAACCAGGTCCTCCAGGCTCCCTCTTTGTTCCACATCTTGTGCCTGGGAGCCCTGTGAGTGCTGATGGAGCATGCCAGGTTTTCAACTTCCAGACTCAGTGGCAGACTGCCTGAAACCTCTGGCATAACTGGCTGCCTCCAAACTAAACGTGGGAGTCCTGCCAAGCAGACTGCCACACTGCTCCTGCTCCCTAGGGACACAGCCATAGGACCTTGGCTTAGATTTGGAGAAAGTTTTGAAACCCAAGATGTTTAGAACAAAATTTCAGTTTTTCAACAAATTTGGCATTTTTCTCTGAAACTTTCCTCATTAGCAATTTCTAAAATTTCAGCCTGGTTTTAGTGTGGGTTTCTGTGATAATAATGGGACACGGGGCAGAATCACACTGGCATCCTCTGTGTGAGTGTGAACACTGAGGGAGTTCAGGAAATTGTTGGACTTGGTGAAGAGTAATGCAAGTTACTTCCACTTGATGTTTCAGACCCCTGTATCAGGAAATGTGGCTTCTCTCACGGTTGCAGGGCAACATTAAAAAAAATCTAGTGATTTGATTTTGACCCTTCTTCACCAATTTCTATCTGCTATTATTCAGGCAGTCTCATCTCTCTTCTTTGTGGTCTTCTCCACTCTGCAGGACTCAAGGGATTTCTGACCTTGGCAGAGCTGCTGAGTATGGGCTTTTCAGAAAAGAACCAGGCAGAGATTTAAAGATCTCTTACTTTTGCCTACAGAATGCAAGGTGAACAAAATACAGAACACAAGTGATAGATTTGGAGAATGCAAAAGCTGTCATAAAGAACTGTTTGAAAGGAGCTGCAGAGATCAGTTCTTGGGCCAGGAGGAACAACTGGCTGCTCAGGCAAAGCAGCTTTCCACTGAACGAGAGCTCTCTGCCAGAGATTATTCAGTCAGGGGTGATGCAGGCCATTCCTTAGCTCTTCTGGCTCATTTGGCCTTACAGTTCTTTGTGACCCTTCAGTTCTTCATTAAACAAAAAATTCTAAAATATAGGGATTAATGCATTTCAAAGATACATTTTGTTTCTGAACTTCCCCACAAATAACCTAAGTGATTAGAAATACATCATTAGAAACAGTAAAAAAAAAAATCAAATCTTTATACACATCTGTAATTAGATATTCAAATTGTCTCAAAGAGGCAGGTAACTTTTAAAGTATTCTTACATGAGCTCAACCTCCTCAAAATGCAGAAGTCAAAATACACTTCTAAGTGCTTTAACTTCAAATTTCATTGGCATCATCAGGAGTACTTATGCATTTAAATCTGACCATGCATTTTGCTGGTTTGGGAGTTTTTAATAGCGTATCTGATGCCTGGCTTGCAAGATTCCAGTAGCTACCACATACAGCCAGTAAGACTGGGCAAGGTCAGTTCTTCCCAAATCAAGGAGCATTTGCCAGGTTGCCAGTAGGGTGGAAGATGGAAAGCAGGGTGATATAATTTATGTTGACTTCTGAAAACTTTTTGGCAGGGCAATTCACCAGAAGCTGTTAAGGAAATGAGTACTATCATGGGCTATAGAAAGTAGCTAATAAAAATAAATAATTGGAACAAATGGTTACTTTTCATCATGTCAAGCTGGCTGTCCCAAGGACCTGCAGGAGGATTAGTTTATTTAATGTATGTATTAATGAGCTGGGAAGAGAAATATGAGAGGAAGACTTGAAGGCAATACAAAATAAGTAGAGTGAAAACTAGGAAAGATTTTGAAGAGCTTCACTGAATCAAAAAGGTGAATTGGCAACAGTAAAGCAGATTAAATGCATAGTGAAAGGGATCATACATAAAGCTGTGTTCTAAATTAACTGTAACAAGGAAGGAAAAAAAACCAAAGAGCAACTGTGGATCACTCAATGAAAACCTTTATGCAGTGTGTAAGAGCAGAAAAAAATAATTCTCCAAAGGTTCTATCATCACTGTATCAGTAAGCAGTGGGAAATCATTTGGAACAGCTCCTGCTGTTTTTAAAAGGTATTAAAACCACCCCCCCACACCAATAGCACAAGAAGATCCTCAAAACTCTCAGGAATCAGTAAAGCCTCCCAGGTGGTAGGAAGGCTGAAAAGGCTGGGGCTGCCTACTGACTGACAGGGCACCCTCCACTGCATTCCTCCATAGAGGCACAAGAGGCTATTCAATGAAAGTAAAGGTCAACTCCCCCCCAACAAAACCCCAAATACCAAAACCTGATCAAATAAAATGTGCATCTTATTGTCAGCTCCTGGAAATTACTGTCACAAAACACCATTGAAGCTGTAAATTTGGTAGGACTAAAAACACACAAACCAAATAGACTGGACGCATATAGATAATGAGAAGCCATTTAATTTCCATTAAGTGGAATAATTTTTATAGAGAATATAAATCTTATTCTTTGAGAACTAAGCAAGTCAGTAACTATGAGGATTAGAGAGAAATTTTTACTATATCTTCTTGTTCACTTCAAGACTGTATCTTTCTCTAAAGTCTGTCTTAAGACTTTTGATGTGTCCAGTCACTGCCGGAGACAAGGACCTGGCTGTTCTGTGTGCTCCTGACTATGACAAGCATTAATACTGAGAACTTGAATCTTATTCAGCTACATTTACCAGGGCACTTCACCAAGAGTGGTATTAATTCTAAAATAATTCTGGTTCCTCTAGACCACTGGGTTTGAGCACACCTAGCTGAGTAGTGATTTGTTACATGGTGCTACACAAACCCAAAGTTGCAGCATTATGCATATCTCAGTTGTCATTCCTGCTCCATGCCCTGTCCTCACTTCCCATAGGGATTTACACTGCAAATCTCGTGACAGAGCCCACACTGCTTCACATCATTCCGTGGGAAAGGGAAAGAGAGAAGCCAACTGATAAAAAAAAGTGTATAATATGTAGGGAAAGTGTGGAACTTGTTTGTGTGCTTCTCACCATACCACTTGTGTGACAACAGATTTTCCACGAGTGGGCCCTACTTGCAGTTGCTGCAGTTAGCACCCCCTCCCGCACAGAGGAGTTGTTTAAATCACATACCAATTCCATTCACAACAGGGGAATTGTTACTGACTTCCAACACGCTGGGCAAGTTTTGTTCTCCTTCGTGATCAGTTAAATCCACGTTTTGCTGCTGTGAGCCATTCCCAAAATGTCTAGAATCTTTCTCATGGCTGCCATCTCCATTCTGCAGGCCATTATGTGGCTTTTTCAGTGGCATAATCTGTAAACCGCTGGGAGTAGTTCGGTAAGTCACAGTTTTAGCAGCCCTGTCATTTGCAGATCCTGGCTTTGCTGCATATCCTCGTTTCTGTTTTTGATGAGATGGATTAATTCTCTTCCTTTTGTGTGTTGCTCCTTTAGACTTCCCAGATTCAGAAGGTCTATGTGATATTTTCTCAACAGACGACCCTCGGCTTTCCCCCAGTAGTTTCGGTGCCTGTTTCCCGTGCCTGGATCGCTTCTCTCTGGTAACGTGTAGCCTGTTGAACTCATCAATAAATTCCTCACAATGGAGTAGGTGATGTTCAGGTTCCCAGGTGTCTTCATTGCTCCCATAGCCTTTCCACCTAATGAGATATTCCCATTTGCCCTTCTTGTTCTTCCTTTTGTCTACAATCCTCTCTACCTAAAAGGAAAAACCAAAGCTGAATTAGAAAGAATTCCCATGAACAGACCTGCCAGTACAGTAGTGAAATGCAGAGCCCCAGTGGTATTTTGACAGCAAGGCCACTGCCCTTTCTAAACACATTAAAAGAGACATAAACACATCCTCAAATCTGATCTGGGCACTTTCAGTAGCTCCAGTGTGAAGAAACAAGAGAGAGTTTCAGATCATTAATGAAAGTACAATTTCTTTGAAAATCTGGTTGCAAAATGAGACTGTTGCTGTTACATTCCTCAGCTACTTCTAGTTTCAAAGAGCCAAATAAAGCACTTTTTGCTGCTTTATTTGTTACTGATCATTCTCCTGAATCCACGTATATATTTTGTCCCTATAAGCCTCCCCAGTCTTCTTTGTTTCTTGAAACTGTCTTGAACAGAGAACTGATGACAAGAAATTGCAATATTTTATAGCAAAGGTCTTGTTTGCAGTAGTGTACATCGACTTTGCTGCTTTCAACTGACAAAAATATGTATTTTTATTAATTCAATATTTGAGTAAATACACAAGATTTTTGAATGCACCAATTACAAAATAAAATAGCAAACAAAGGGCATTAAGGCAGGATTCTTACATTGAAGGATTGAATACTATCAGCCTGTGTTGGAGAATGTCATTGTAAGGAACATTTCTACACCAAGGGCTAATGGACTGTATTGGGCCTGCACCCTGAATCTGAATTAATATCATTATACTGTGGAACCTGGGTGCTGGTCAAGCCTCAAGTAGAGGGAGAATACAGAGGAAAATCCAAACACACCACAGCAGTGGCAGCAAGTTTGGGTTAAACTGCAACAAGTAAAATTCAGATCAAGTCATTAGGAAAAATGTTGTAATATCAGTAAGTATTAAGTATTAGAATAATACCTGGTAATGTGGGGAAGGTAGGCAGGGTTTTTAGAACACAAAGTTTTTGTTACATACATCTGCCATGAAAAGTCAATGCTGGAAGATCAGTTATGATAAGGAAAATTTCAAAGACTCTGTTTTATTTTTATATTGTTTAATTTTTAAATTTTGTTTTTAATATGTTGTTTATTTAGGATAAAGATGCCACTAATGAAAAAAAATCATTATCATTAACCCAAAGAAGTATTTTTAATTAAAAAAAATAAATAAGTGGATAGATAATGTAACAGCTTTCACTGCTCCTTAATGAAAAATCATCTCATGTGAAGAACAACAGTGGAATCTGTAAGGAGAATTTAACCTTGAAGAAGGGCAATCACAGCAGTTAAGTAATTGTTCATTTTAGGTCCCCTGTTAGAGCAAACCAATGGATTAATTCTGTCTGTTCACTGGCTGGAACTGTACATTCACGGAAATCTTGGTGGGTTCCCCAAAGGAGTCTAAATGTAATTAGCAACTAAACATTATACTTCTATCTTCTATCAGTTCATTTACATGGGAACTGTGCTAGATATCTGTCTCTGAGTCATAGTGGACACCTTCCTCCATCTCCAGGGCTCCCACTGCAGCATCTCAAACAGCTCCTTCCTGTGCTCTGGCTTATCAAATATCTACACAGAACCACCTCAGAAGCAAAGCAAAGCATCCTTCTTACTCTGAATTTAGCACAGTCCCCTTCAGGATTGCTCAGAGAGGCAAAACAATTAAATGAAGCTCAGCCTGGGCAAGTTTGAGATCATTTGTCTGAAAAGAGGGAGAAGGCTTCACAAAATGAATGAACTAGCATTTTTTTCCTCATGTGGGATGTGTGGCTTTCAATTGTCAAACTAATAGTAGACTTATTATGATCTTGTTGGCTTTATAGAGAGCAGCTGTCTAGATTATCCTTGGCTTTAAAATACTTTCATCTTCCTATCAGGGACTGGCCAGAAAAGCTGTACATTGAACCACGGAACTCTGTGTGGGCTGCCTGTGGATTTGTTACCTTAATTACTGCAGCTTGCTATACCAAGGAGCACAACATATGCATGTATGTCCTGGGGAAAAAATTAAATTGCTGCTAAACTCGGTAGACCACAGCTATCAGTACTGGAGAGTCTGGGTTACTGCTTTTCTGTCTGTACCAGATGAACAACACATGCATTCCCCTCCCTTTTAATTCAGGACTCTGGACTTGGAACACAAACTCTGTGTCAGTTTGGTGCTACTTGGGAGTTACTTGTCTTTGTTTTGAGGGATTGCACCAGCTTTGTTCCCTGACTTGCTCACTGAAGGAAGAGCCTCAGAAAGGATGGACAAAACCTTTTATGAGATCACATACAAAAACCATATTTCCACCCTCTCACCTTTTTTCACTTGTGCTCATATCTTTAACTACATAGATTTCTTATTTTCACATTGTTGCTCTATGTGAAGAGGTTTTGTGGAGGGTGTTGTTTAATATGGAAGTATTTTGGTGATGAGACATCCTGCATTTCAATTAGGAGGATAAAAGGAGAAAATGAGTAGTCTTTGTTCCTGGAAAATAAAATAATGGCAATGGAGGATGTGATTAACCACTTCAACACATCATGAAGGGAGACTAAAAGTATTCATGAAATTGGGTCAAATTTATTAGTTTATGAAAAAGCATTCAGAAAGCAAATATATTTGGGTAAGACTAACCATTTCATTACAGCACTTGCAGAACAAAACTATCAATGTTCAAATTTAACTAACTAAAATAAAGACTAAATAAATTGAATACAAATTTTTTTGTTTCTGGTCAACCCTCTTTTCAGTTTATTGTTTTTTGGGGGAGAAAATGAAAAAAATGTGGTTTAATCAAAAATGAGTTTGTTTTCCTTGATTTTTTTTTTAGTTCAACCATAATGCCCACTGGCTTGACTAATGATGCATAAAAAGTCTGAGTAGATATTTTCCTGTCCTCATTACAGCCTCACTGTTAACTGAATGAATCTGAGGGTAGCATTGAATATACTTGACCTCTCAACATGGTCCCTTTTCTATCACAGGGCTTTAAGTTCTTCAGTAATATTTATCCCCTTTAGGTGCCACTGGGAAGTGCTTCAGTGGAAGCATAAATATCAGGGTTTTAACCACACCTGCTACTGTCTGTCTCATCTTACTTCTATCCACAGTCCACAGTAACAACAAACATCACTGCTTTGTTTTTTTTAATGATGTGTATTTGTTTTAAGTGGTACTGTGTGAAATAATTATCTTTCTGTATTTACTTGAGGTTGCACAAATCATATCAGTCTTCTTAATGAGAAATAATTCTGTGACAGCTAGTGATTAATAGAAATAATACTTTAAATCCTCCCCTAGAATAAGCAAGACACGTTTCTGAGAATATGCAGCAAATATCTAGGGCTTCAAGTGTCTGATTTTCCATCTCCCCCCTCAGTTCCATCTTTAATCAGAACTGAGTAACATGTTCCTGAAAGTGACCCTGGTAGTTACAGTTGCCAAATCCATGATTTCACTATATTTGCTTTGGAAAACTGAAGAGTTAAATTTAATAAAAGTGCAATGACTACAAACAAACCTTGTAGAGGTATCACAGTTAAAAGATTGCTAGAAATGTTATGTACCAACACTTCTCTGGATTCTCTCTCTCCCTGCACCCGCTGGCTAATTCTGGATGAACTGAGGTTCTGCTATGTTACCATATAAATACTTTTAAAGAGAACAAATAGAATAAGAACATGGCATCTGTGCAAATGCATTTGCAACACACTTTTTAGCTTCCAAGTAGCCTTAAACCTAGCTCAATAAACAGCTGCACAAACTAGGATGAAAGTCATAAATAAAAAGCCTTTAAAAATATATCTGCATTCTATACTTCATGTGAAATAAAATAATACATTAGTGGATTAAAGTACAAATATCTAGAGCTTCATAAACTTAAGTGTTTTGCTTATATATGCAGAGTGCAACAACACTGCCACGCTTTCTTTACAGAAAATTCTGGGTCAAAATCATTTAACCACACAATTTTATTGTTTGCTTATCAAAAAAATTAAATCTAGGCTAAATTAAAAAAGGATAATTCCTATGGAATTATTTCTACAGCTGTAACTATAAAGTCAAAGCACAGCATACTCATCTCAGTTCTCAGCTCTGAAGAGCATAAATAAAAATCCTTGTGCTCCCAGAAAACAACTTTTGGGAGATGAGTAAACTTCTAGAAACATTTGGAAGGTTGCATATCTACTCAGTGATTTTCAAAATTAATACATGTCATCTCCTTTTCGTGCCATGCACATCCATGTAAGCAATTTAAACTGTAATCAGTGGTGTTCAGATGGTCTCTGTTAGTGAACTCTTCAGAGCATCAGAGCAACTGCATGACAGACACTAGAAAAACTGCCTTTCATTACTATGATTACAGGACTTGTACTGGTTTATGTGGGTTTTTTTCATTGGAGGTCTTTGTCCCATGTTGTGCCTGAGGGTGTTGGAAGGGTATTTGAAGAAAATGCCAAGGAAGGAAAGGCAGTAAGATTTCTGAGAGAGATAAAGGCCATCTGATTCAACATGTTTGTCTTTTAAAAATTCAGTATTGCCCTAACTTCCCCCTTTTTGTTACCTTTGCTTTAGGAAATACTGTATCTCATTAGCAGTAAATCTTTTGCCTTCTTGTCTTTGTATCTTATTTTTGTTTTTCTTGTCTTTGTATTTGATTTCACAAAATCTAGTAATTGGAGCATTTGTTCCAGATGTACAAAAAATACGGCAACATATCTTCTGCTGCAGCCAGCATTCATGTTAGAAGAATAACAGTGGAATGGCTGCTGGGACTCTGTTCAGAATCTGACCCACAGAGTAGGTCCAGCTATGAAACCCCCTCAGTACTAAATTTGTGTTGTTACCTGGAAGGTCAAAATGAAAGTGAAAGGGCTAGATAGTCTTAAAAACAAAAGAGAAGACATTCCTCACTGGAATCACTCTTAGGCAAAACATCAAATGACATCTTCCCAAGAAAACCAGTGAACACCCTATTAATCTCAACAGACACTGCCTTTTATTAAGTTCCTTTTTTTTTTTTT